CTCTGAACTCAAAGCACAGGAAGTAACAAAACAGATCAATCTGGCTCTAGAAAAATTCAAAATAGAAATAATTTCCCAGATAACCATAGAGATAGTGAGCAAAATGGAAGTCATGATTTGAGACTCTAGAGCAGAAACTGACAAAAAAAATAGATGAGTTCAGGACGATGATAGAAGCCACGAAGGCCCAGCATAAGAAAGAAATGGAAAAAATAAACGTCCAACATAGGAAAGAAATGGAATCCATAAAACAGATTCAAACAGATATCCAGGAGATTAAACACACCATTGAAAGTATACACAACAGAATAAAAGAATGTGAAGATAGACTCTCAGATATAGAAGATAAGATTGCAGTCAGTGACCATGAAAATAGAGGTCTCTTAAAAACAGTAAGGGATCATGAGAAATCGATCCAACAACTCCTAGATGATGCAAAGAAGAATAACATAAGACTGACAGGAATACATGCAGTAGCAGGAGAAAATGCAAATGACTTAAAAAAGCTGTTCACAGAATTAATCACAGAAAACTTCCCAAACAGAAGGGAAGAATTTGACATCCAGATAAGTGAGGCATATAGGACCCCAACTAGCCACAATCAAAAAAAATCTACACCTAGACATATAATAATCAAGATCCCAGAAACCCAACAAAAGAACAAAATACTACAAGCAGTAAGAGAAAAGAAACAAATCACATACAAAGGAAAGCCCATCAGAATCATAGCAGACTTTTCAACACAAACCCTTGGGCAAGGAGAGCCTGGAATGAGATATTTCAAGTACTAAAAGAGAACAACCTCCAACCTAGACTGATGTATCCTGCAAAACTCTCTTTCAAAATGGATGGGGAAATAAGACACTTCCACGACAAAGAACACCTGAGAAACTACATGAATACCAAACCAGCACTACAAGCAATTCTAAACAAGATCCTAGAAAAAGACAATGAAGGCAACAACACCATGAGGCCCAACAGAGCAAATCAAATAGGCAAGGCAAGAAACTAAAAGGAGAAGGTGAAAAAGTAAAAAGAGTCAACAAAAGGCCAATAACATGTCAATAATAAGTCAGTACATATCAGTTATAACCATCAATGTCAATGGCCTCAACTCACCAGTCAAGAGAAATAGACTGGCAGAATGGAATAAGAAGCAAAATCCAACGATATGTTGTATACAAGAAACACACCTAGTGCAAAAAGAAGCCCATAGACTGAAAGTGAAAGGATAGAAAAACAATTCTCCATGTGACAGGAGCCCAGAAAAAAACAGGGGTAGCAATCTTATTTGCAGACAAAGAAAATTTCAAACCAAAACTGATTCTAGTATTATTGATGTAGGATGGTACCGTATCATACCTTTGTGAATATAAAATATCTAGTACCTGCTTTATGATAGATAGTAGTGACAGTGCTTTTTCAGAGCTATATTTAATGATATTACTCTAGAATGCTCTTTCCAGATGATGATTAAGAGGCTAATAGAAAAAAT